GAGTTGATTGTAACGATAATATATGAAAGCTGAAAATAACACTGACTATTTCATCGAAGTAAATGATAAAGCTATAAGCGTAATGGATGAATAATTATTGTTAATGAAAACAAGTCAAGTCATAAATTAAAACAAACGGTATCATAAAATTAAATAAAACGTACACTAATTAATAAATTCGAAATATATTTTGTACATAATTAAAATTATTATTATAGTGATATAGTTCGGTGGCCTTGTGAAACGTTTGTGTCATTTATTTATTTAAACACATAAACAATGGTACAAGGAGGCACTAAATAGATATGCGCCACATAAATTATTCGATTTGTGTGAGAGCTCGGATACTGTCCGGCTGCTCAAATCGAAACAAGTGGTTTCTTTTGGGGGTTATACTCGGAGCCTTCAACTTAAAGGTCAAATCCAAAAGGCAGTGGAATAACGTCATATTACCAAATGTGCACTGAATGTCAAAAATCATCCTGTTATATTGGTGTTTTAATTACACTATTTAAGCATTTCAATAAAATGCTTCTAGAAAATGTTTATAACTTATCATGAATCTGATGATTGAAAAAATTAAAGAAGTACCATCATGGTGGTTTGTATATTTTCCTCATGATCGTCTGTCCTTTGGAGAAATGAAAGGTGGTTACTAGAGAATTCATGCATCAAATATATTTATCGATGGAAAAAGATATGATCGGAGCATAAATTATGGATAAACATATAAAAATGGTAGTAAATGAATGTTTAAAAACTTTTGACTCATACTTTTCGAATACTCACAATTCAAATATTCATAAAATGAAAATTTTGCTGTCATGTTGTATATTTTGTACTGAGAATGCTTTACTGTAGTTGAACATTTGGAATGAAATAAAACGAGCAGTTTTATTATCATTATCATGAGCATAGCTGTAGCTCCGGGTCATTTTAAAACATTCAACAAACACTTACTGAAGCAGAAAATAAGTATGAGAGTTTTTTTTAAAATTCTGCACAATGCGACTAACCTTCCGCAGTCCATACTAGGAATTCACCAAAAGGAGTTAGATTGACACATTCCATATGATGCGATTGTGAATCTGATTTGAATGGTTGATTTGACTAAGTTGTTTTTTACACAAAGAGAAAACAAATTATAAGACTTGGTGTTATTTAATGTGTTAAAACCTTACAAAGTTGAGTCTAAGTAACTGAGTTATATTGAATTATATTATCCGTTGAAGAACTATTAGAAACTAAAATGCACTGAACACAACTGTTACATTCTAGTTTGATACTATGTACAACCACTGCGTATACCTAGAACCCAACACAAGATTCAAATCAGGATGTCTAAATCTCATGGCATACATGTTGTTTACAATGCTTCCCTTTGTAAAGTTAAGTGAATCAGTGAGTAAAGTTCGTAACTAATAACAGTCTCATCCTTGATATTTGAACAATACTGTACACTGGATCTGCCTAGTGTTTCGGAAATCTACCTTGAAGTTAATCATCAGGGAGGGTTATTTGATTATTTAACTTAACAAATTCATAGAACCTAAACCAATGAAAAAATAGTTTTAGTCAGACTGACAAACAACAGAATCGTATTTTCAGATTATATTTCCACTGAATTGGATCAATACCCATAAACCACTTACCAACACAAGGTCAGTATGTGAGGAACAATGATTGTTTACTCGATTACATTTAAACATTGATCTGATCAGGTGAATAAATACCTTTGGCTATGTACTGAACAAAATATATGCTAAACAGTGTTATGCTTTGTAGAGATATCATCTTATGAAAACCGACTATTTTATGTATAAAAGAAATCCCTTTGCGTATGGTTAGATTACCACAGATATATTCGTGAACAAGATCAACTTCTCACTTCAATGTTCTACTGAATAAACAAATGTGAAATCATGCACATTCAGTTTTTTTAATTATTCCGTACGGAGTATGAATGTAATGTTTTTTGCATTCAAGAAAAGCAAACTGTAATCATAATTAATTTTAGCACTATTGATCTGACAGTCAAATAATTTACCGACCAACTATGAATATATATACATAAAATAAATCAATAAGTAAACAAAATTATTAGTTTGTCTGTAAAAATGGACTATACCAACATAGATTGATCAATCTTTTATGAAAAGTATGCCAGCTACATATTAAGAACGCCACTTGATCAGTATCGATAAGCAAATCTGTAACTTAATGGGATTGTCTTGATAGCACCTTTGATCACAAGTTATACAAATGCATACGGTGGATACTACAGTTCAATGTCATAGACTGATAACCTTTTCGTTTTTCTCACCCTATCCCAGTGTCTTTAGATGGTTATACCATGAGCCTAGTGTTGATGTTCACACAGAGACTCAAGCACAATACCTTTCACTACAAATACTAATGTATTATATACTGATCTACTGTGTCTAGATAGAAAATAACTTGGTTCGACTGCTATCACAGATCCAATGTTACTGATATATGTATGTTACTTATTTTTAAACATAATCATATGTTAACTAAGTATACGGTTAATAACTAAATACGTACAAGACAAGAAACAAGATCTGAAAATAGAATCAATTACTAACTAGAAAATCTTTAACATGTTATACATTTATTTCAAATACTAGATTTATAAAGATATCCTAGGGTGTAAATAAGATATTTAAGCGTGATATATATTTGTAAGGTTTTGGCTCTTACTAAGCACTATGATACTGAAGATTATTTCTCGTCGAGTAAAAAGGCAATGAAAATACAAGTTCTGCATTCAGATAAAAAGTAGAATATATTCACAAAAGTAAACATTTATTCAGTTATTGATAGTTTTACAAAAAAATCATTGAGGCAAAAAATAGAAGTGCAAATAAAGTTACTTAACAACATCAATACAGTTGGTGCATATCGTTTATGACCAAGTGTATTGACTTCATATTTTTAGATAAATTGAACATTGAGTGTACCATTTATGACAATAAAATAATAGATGATTTTAATATCCATATTAGTCGGAAATTGAATTAATGACGTTTTGCAACTTAGTGTAGGTCACTTCTTCAGAGAATATACAAATCAATAACCAGATTAATTTAACACAAGTTTACAAAGTACAGAGGAAAAAGCAGAATATTTAATACAATCAAAATAGATCTAGTCATGTTATCTAGATCAAGTTCATTCTGTGTTCAGTTTTATTTACAGGTCATAAATTATATCTATAAAACAACAACCAATTAAATAGAATTCGGGTTTTCAAGAGGTCAAACATTTAAACTACACAAAATAAACTACAAAAGTGAGGCCAAACGTTTTAAATATCTTATTTTTTTACATCAACTATTTTATTATAATCTTATATTAATAAATATGAATATAAGACACCTGTCGATACAATAGTATCCAAGTAGCATATTGTTAAGAAGAGATGATATATCAGAAATCCGGTCTCAAGTTCAACTCTGATCTAACACATAATTAGTTTAGCCAGTTAAACTGAAAGAATGCCATTCACACTTACTGTTGAAGATCAGTTAACTAGTAATATTCCTTCCCTCCTTAGAAATTATTTTGAACATTTAATTGAAAACTTTACGAATCTAGCACTACCTATTCCTGGTAGCAGTCTATCTTTCCTGTGTACCTATATATATCACCACAGTATGAGTAAGTATGGTAGGTGCTTTGTATCCTCGAGGTATTAAGTATTTTTCAGGGCTAACAGTAATCTGAGGCTGCAATCACTGTTGGAAATATACCGGTAGAAACCTGAAAGTTCATGAATTTGTATAGTTTCGTGAGTGTTGGTGATCTGACTAATGAAATCAATATACAAATAGCGAAGTTAGAGTGCCTTGTACAAATATAGCTTTCATGATGCTATTCTAGCTGTAAAGGTTTGGGTTTACAACGTACCGGTGAGAGTGATTCTATACTGTGCTCTTGAAACCTAACCTCTCCAATTTGAAAATCTCAAGCAGCTCTCTGCGTTTAATTAGAGTGATCCCCAAAAGCAAGAGACGGTTAATCTATGACATGGCGTCATGGTATGGAGATATTGCGATATGACTCTCTGGTCGGAGTTCAGATGATGCAACACAGTAAATCAAGACGTTACCACACACGGCTCAAAAAAGAACCAATAGTGACGCTATTTTACAGTCTTCAAAAATGTGTGGGGAACTCCTTTAAACGAAAGAATTCTAAATTGTATCATTTATATTTTTAACTAAACTGTCTATCCCATAACACACTGCTCTTGTAAATTATTTTGTTTATGAACTGTTTTTTTCTCTTCTAAAGTCCTCCGTTTACCTCACAAAGTTATTCTTGCTTTATGTGGTGTATAACATTTCTTTGGTGCTATGCTGTAACCAGATTTTTATGCGCTCGCATAAATGACCAAATTAAGTGTTGCACTTCGTTAGATTATGTATGAACTAACAAAAAGTACAATCTACCAGGAATTAATACCTTAAAAACAATCAGTAAAATATTCTGATTACTCTACAATAAGGTGACGTATATCACGTTTTAAAAAAAAATTAACACATGTACCATTATGCAATAAATAGCATGTGTAATCTATCAGATTAGATTCTATACAAAAACTAACGAATTATATCATTATATAATCTTAAATTTGACTGCAGGGATACAATCCAGTCATGAAGCAATTTGGCCAGACAAACGAGCGTTGATTAAGTGAATAAAATGCTAGCGTTACATAGTCTAACCTCCCTACATCTACTTTAGCATGGGCAGCTAAATGGTAGTACCAACGTTCACACAAAAACAGAATGTGACTCACAGCCGAATAAGTAGTGAGTAACATAGGGAAATCACACACATAGACAAACATTACCAAAAAAATTTTAGAACAAGAAGCATTCAATCAGTTCTATCTACATACATAAACAGTACAAAATTCCTATTTAAGTGTCAAAAAAGACTTAGCACACTTTCCGAAGAAAGTATATATTTATACCAGGAAAGAAAATAATAGAAATCTGTTAGCATATATACAATACGACATATGAATAGACTACATTTTGAAGACAAAACGCTGTGAAATGAATAGATAAAATGGGGAAGATAAAAAGAAATACTAGAGTGTATGCAAATATGAACAATATTCACAAGAGATAATGTACATTTTCTTCTAAAACAAAAGATAATTTTTATGAATAAAAATTATTGGACTGTATTAAGCGTAAGTCTAAAGGTGGTGGTTGTATGTTATAACCTCCTTCTCCACCGACTCCTCCAGTTAAGGTTGTTTCTATTGTCGTCGTTAGTGTATCTGATGGAATATAACAGTTATTCATTGATGAGATATGTGTATCTGGTATTTTCAGTTCACTACTGATTACGGTCTTGTTAGTAGTATCATTGTGGCTAGTTGTAGTAAAAGAAGTTAACGTTTCGTTTGAACGATAAACAGCATTTTCAGGGTAAATTATAACTTCAGGGAATTCCGTTTCGCATTCTTCATCATTATTAGTAAGTAAGAGGTCGGTAAAACTGAAACCTGGTTCAGGATCCCATATTGTATGTGTTGTAAAGAATGTATTATCGGTACATTCATTTGACGATTCAAAAAACAATGTTGTACAATGTTGTGAGGAACTTAAATCGATTGGATTTACAGTTATTATATCTACAGAGGGATCAAGTGATAAATCTATCGCTTCAGTAGCCCCTGTCAATGTAAAATAATGTGTATCAGTAAGATCAAGACCAGAATTTGAATAAAATAAATTTTTAGATGAAAGACCATTGTCAATAATTCGATTAGTTTCTGTAATATATTGTGGTATAATGCTGTTAGATGAATTCACTGTTGATAAAGGTAGAGTTAATGAATCAACTTTTCCTAATTCCGACGAAGATACAGGGGTATATGTCTATAAAAAAGGGAGAGTAAAACGGAAAAAAGAGAATGAGACATTTGAATATTTAAGGAAAAAGTATAATCAACAATGAGTATAATACGAGATCTATCAATCTTTCATTTATTTTATTATTACTATAAAAGTTAAACATCTCTAGATATATATAGAAAGATCCGATCGATATTTTCTTCCAAGTTATCCAAACGAGCTATGAACTAACTCATCTGCAAACAGTGCTTACAATAATTGACTACTGACCAATAGTAATAATCCAATTATTCAATATAATATTTTTAGTACAGTACAGAAATCGCAGCATAGAATACGCAACACGTGAACAACAATATATATATATATATATATATATATATATATATATATATATATATATATATATATATATATATTTGTTGTTCATGTGTTGCGTATTCTATGCTGCGATTTCTGTACTGTAATTGTTAAATTATCCAAAATTAAATGACACAATCTATACATCAATCAATTGACGACATGTTTAAGAGTGTAAGGTTTTGATTAGGACAGCTGCTATAATCTAGTCATCGCATAGTGTGTGCTAAATACAGTGTTGTAGAGTTCCTGTACTTTTTTTGCGTGCCTGTATTTTAATGTAACTGAGTCTAGTTTCTCCGGAGAATATGCAACGAAAAGATGTGAACGAAATGGATGGTTTGTAATTGATAAAATATTACATCTTAACTGTTTGCAAGATTTCAAATGTTTGTCCACAACCGTATCCATGATGAAATTAATAGATTCACCACAAACCATACTAACTGCCTTCATTATTACAGAACACCGAATACATAGTAACCAATCCCATGCTTGCCTGGATTTTATGGCTAACTGAATCTTGTCGATCAAGTTGTGTTGCGGCAACTAGCTGATCTGAATCGATAGAAAATCATCCGTTGTCGCAATAGCACCAGCTCCCTTAAGGCTGTACATACGCCTTGATGATGAGTGGGAATTATAATGAAACCTAGGTTCAGAGATTCATATAGTTTCATATGACCAACCAAAAGCATATAGGATTGTTTTAACAGTGAAAAATAGAAAAAAGAACTATTTCCATAAACTATGAAAATTAATATACAGGTAAACATTCATGTATGTGACGCATAGTCACACTATCCAGATGACTGAACAAAAATAAATTTTTTGCCTATTCTTTCTATTTTAAAGCCATAGTGAGGGCAATTCAAACCAATAAATCACTTTCACATAACTTAAGTACGATTACATTCTTTTTTCTTGGAACAGCACAAAAGATATATTACATATAAAATAGTTGCAACTAATTGTAATGTAAACTTCTTTGTTACTGTATAGACTAGATATTATTTTTATTTTTCACAAGAAATCTCAATAATCGACATATACACAGAAAAAACAATAAGAATGACAGACAACTTTAGGTTTTATTATTTCCACTTAGAAAGACTACATTTATTGTTATTGTTCTGTGCTATATGAAGAATCTTTTACTTAATTAAAACTTCATCACTTTTCTAACAACCTTTAGGCACTTACATTTTTTAGAACTGATCGCTGACTGATGTATTGCCAAATCTGACTTACTTATCAACAATAAGGATCATAACTAAAGATGGATGGTGGCTAGCAGTGGAATCCAGGACGTGCGTCTCATCCTATTTGGGACTCTTCATCTGGATGTACTTGCATCTCAGAGCTGATGTTAATTCTGGCACTCGGACCCAGTACCGTTCACTTCAAACGCCATCGCGTTATCTACTACGCGACTGAGTCCTGGGAGCTACTAGGTTGCGCAATAGGGTGGAGTTTTAATTCGTTTTTTTTTGTTGTCTGAATTTTCACATTGATGTTTATGATCAAAATTGATCAGTCTTATTGGAATATTTGCATCCTGTCCGGATTGTCTCGATATTGTTATAAGTCGCAAGCATTATAAGTAAAGATGAGTGGTGGCTAGCAGTGGAATCTAGGACGCAACTTAAGGCAATATCGATGCAATCCACATAGGATGCATATATGCCAATAAGACGAATCAACTGAAGTCCTCAACATCAATAGGAAGATCCAAACAAACAGCACAAAATGAATTAAAAGATTATAGCCACTCAAACTGCATAATTTTAAACTCTAATGTATTATGAGTGAAATCGAAAGCTCTCATGAAATAAAACGGTTCAATGGTAAATCGTATGAACATTTCAAACTGTTACCTGATAAGTAGAAAAGTATTTGTTTTTTCAATAGGCATTTTTCAAAAACTAAAATCTAACTACTGATAAAGGTTGTCAGTAATAAGTAAATATTAGGCAAGATTTGATTTGGCAATTTTGAAGAAAGAATATCGTTAGAAGAATATAATTGTAATTGTTTGGTTGATTATATGTCATTGAAAATGAAGTTTACTACTTCTTCAAGAAAAAACAACAAACTTTTTATTGAAATTTTCATTTCAATACTCACTTTATCGGAATAAACTTGTAGGCATAAAGCTGAATTACATAAATCCACAGCAACATCGCTATCATATTCATTTCTTAATGTAGTAGTAGCAGTACTAGTGGTAGTGGTTGATGTCATTGAAATCACCGTCATCATTGTTGAAGATACAACAGAATCTGACGTTAATAATAAATGATACCTAGGTGTAGTAACAATATTTGTTGAAATATTTGATTCCGTGATAACATTATTATTATTATTATTACTATTATTATTATTATTATTATTATTATTATTATTATTATTATTATTATTAAAAGAAATCATAACATTAGTAGTAACAGGTATTTCTGATGATGTCATAGACGTTGTTAAAACATTATATGGAGTAATAATCATAGGACAAACTGATTCACTTGTAAGTATTAATGATTTAGATTCTGGAGTGAATGAATTATCAAATGACAAATGAGATGGATCAACTGCGTCTATATCAGTGGTTGAATTAGCGAGTACAAGACTTATAGGTTCTTCACATGGAAGAGTTTTCTGTAATGCAAAACATAAAAAAATAAATTATATTTTAAATTGGTTCAGAATGGAAAAAATTTAAAAAAAGTCCCATACAACTTCAGAAATAATATTAATACAACAAGATGTATAATTGTGGCAAGATGCTACTGGGTCAATAACTCCCCCTTCTACCTGACAACTTTATACAAATTTTCCATCAAGCAATAAAATCTACTAACTCAGCCAAAAAAATATAACTGTAGAGTAAATGAAATCAATAAGGATGGTGGAATTAGTACAACTTGTTTGCAAAATTTATTACATATCGCAAAAGAAGCTGAGAATAGGATAGAGAAATAAATTTTATGAAAGTAAACATTAACTGCATTAATTAGGTGAACCAGGTGATAAATGTAAGAATTATAGATCTACTTACAATTTTCACTAGTAACTTATGCTGATTAAGGATCACATAAAAAAATCGAATATGAGAAATTACACAATGGCATATTAGAAATTGATGTTGCCTAGAAAATCGAAAATTGACAAGTACTTTCTCTTTGTCTATGTATAAGGCACGTTTAGACTTAAGGAGAGATTTATTTTGATAAAATACAATAAATTTGAATTCATACTCATTTTGTGATAAGTTTTAACAATTCATATATGTCAGTATTACGTTAGATGTTAAATAAATAATTTAATGAAATGATGAATAACTGTGGGACTGTAAAAATACATTTTTATAATTACAGTCATAATGTTCAAACTGTTCTATAACCATTCTATGAGAAATATGCACTACTTTCCATGATTTATTCATGCCACATTCTCAATATTTCTATATTTAATAGATAGATACTTTATTATTTCAGTATTAAGTTTACAAATTTTAACATAATTTTGTGAACAGGAAAATGTAATGTTACGTGTGGTCGGGCACAGAAACGATAATGCAATTGGTGTCACCATCTTGAAACACCAACTTGGGTGGCTTGGACATGTTCTACGAATGTCGCCCCAGAGAATTCCACGCCGTGCATCATTTGCCGACTGTGGGACTGGTTGGAAAAAGCGGAGAGGTGGTCAGTGTATGACATGGTGTCGTGGTATGAAAGAAAGCTGCAAAGGACTGGCTTGTGTCGGTGCTTCACGACTCCCTGGCTGGGGTCCGAGAGATAGTGCGACACAGTGGCTAGAGACTTTATCAGATATGACTCAGAATAGAAGCCAGTGGCGATCCTGCTGTAGCCTTCTTCAACTTTCTCCATAAAACGTGGTTACTTCTTCCTTAACTGAAAGATCTCTTCTGATTGTACGTTTCTGTTTCTCCATTATTATTAATACACTAATCTGTTCGTTATTTTTCTTTCTTTTTCTTTTGCGCTCCTTACCTTTTTTTCCTTCTTCTCTTCAAAATCTCATTGTTTTGTGTGGCGCATATATATTTGGTGCCCTCTTGTACCAATATTTATGTGTTCAAATAAATAATTTAAAAAAATGTTACGTACAACTTAAATAAAATTATGTAAACCACGTTGTTATTTGTTTTTTTGCTTTTGGTAAAACTAACCGAAATATGAAAAACAAGTTAAATTTGCAAATTAATTTTAAACATACAGATAATTTTGATTTAGACATAACAGATTCATTGGTAGAATCATTATTAGTTATAGATTTTTCATCTTTCAAGTGTGCATGATAAGACCGCATATGTTTTCTAAGTGAACTTGGATCTGTATATGCTCTATGATCATTACATATTTGACAGATATATGGTCTTGGACGAGATTGATTAATTTTATCTTCGATTTGTAAAGCAGATAAACCAGAAGAATCCCAATCATTATAAACATCTTTACACAAACATTGTTTATCCTGTTCAGATAAATATTTATCTTCAAAATGATGCTTCTTCATACACCTGGATCTTTCTGATGTTCTAGAGTACGCTTGATGACAAATTGAACACATATATGGTTTTAAACCTAAGAGAATAAAAGTAGACATTCATTAAATACTGCTAAACCGAAATATTTAGAAGATAATTTTCACGACAAACAAATACTACCCAGGGAAGTATTATAATTTTTATCCAATATACGAAAAATCTGGAGCATCAGGGTACTAAAAATGTATGCGCTACAAAGATAATGATATAAGATTATAAAAAATATGAAGCTGAAAGAAAACACAACAAAAATAATAAGTGAACAAGAACCATGTTATAATAGGAGATAAAGTTCAGTCAAAAATACAATCAAAGTAGGTTTATTTCAATTAGGGGAGTTTCTCTTAATCATGTAGAATGTAAAAGAAAGCTACAGCAGAATTACTGCCAGCTTCCATCCAGAGCTGTATCTAATAAAGTCACAAACCACTGAGTTACATCATCACTAGGATCGTAACTTGAGAGTCGTGATGGGTCGATAGATCCTAGCCCTATTTTATCCCCCATACAACGGCTACATGACATAAACTGACCTCACAATGGTTTCCCAACCAGTCCTAACATCAGTAATCAACGTACGATGTAGGGTCGTCCAGTACAACATTCATGAAGCATATCTAAACCACCGAAACCAATGTTTCAGGATGCGGAATCTCTGTATTACTGACAAGGTATCAAGACTAGATGTTGGCGATCCTTCGGAGACAATAATGCCAGAAGACAGAGAGTCACCGAACATCCTCCGCTAAGGGTAGCTAGGCTTTACAAGCATATATCACAGCTGCTCTCATCAACACTTCGTAAGCCCAACCTTTTCAACCAGATTAAAATCACATTAGTGCATTAAAAGCCATAAGAAAAAGGTGCGTACTGTTGAACAGTTTCAAATCCGAACGAACTATCAGTCCAATGTTTCTTGATTTATAATACAACTAGGGTATAAGCCAAATCACTACTAAATCTAACAATCATCAATCAATCAAATCTGTTTAACCTTTTTTTCTGATTCCTTATCGTTTTTGATTCAAGGTATAAGCAGCCTATTCAGAAATGAGAGTATACACTTAGAGCAATATACGATTGAGGCAATTATTTAAGTTACATAATAGTACAATTAATCTAAACTGGATGACAATAAAATATGCAGTTATAACAACCAAAATGAACATTTCCTCACAGAATCGACCCACAAATTTCAAAATAAATTTCAGAAATAAGGATTACTGGTAAGCAGAATGATTAGATGAACATATATTAGGGGATTTAAGCTGGAAACTATGTACAAAATAATTAATCGGTGACCAGACCAAGTTAATTTTTCTCCAAAGTAAAGTGATTGTGTATGCGCAAATATCGCATATACATCAATACAGAAAGGAGGAGAGTAATAATATGTGTACAAATAAATAATTACCTGAATGTACATTTGTATGCCTTTTAAGATTTTCTTTCGAACTAAAGCGTTTTCCACACTGTGAACACGATAGATTTAAATGATTTTTATGTAAAAGTAAATGACGTTTCAAATGAGTCCTTGAATAGATAAAGAATGGATGAAATTCACTGTCAAAATTCGGAATTTTTCGATTAATATAGAGGTTTATGGAAATTTATTTAAATTTGAGTAAACTTTCTACCAGACTAACTAATAAATGACTATATGCTCATCAGTGACTGTTTTTATAACACAAATTTCTCGAACACCTAAAGAGGAGCTAGGAGTGGTATAGTCGATGTTATTGAAAGTGAAATAGTTATACAGCAATAACACTAAACAGTGATCAGAATAAATTAACCAAAAGTAAATAGCTGAATTCCCACTCAATAGCTTGAATGTATTATCATGAAATCTGAGGGTTTTTCTGTCCAATCTCATGAAGAGTAGATTGTGAATACATTTGAGGAATCCCTAGTAGAGTGAAATAGCTTTCGAATGTTCCATTGTTTCTAACCATACTTTGTACAATGTCAGTTCATGATAAAAATTATTTTATCTATCATTAGAATGTCACAAAGTATAAGTAGTGATAAATTCGACCCTTAAGATCAAATGTGGGCTAAACCGACATAAGAATTTCACAAAGTTAAAATGAAAGAATGCAACAATTATTAAATGTCTGAACTGTATGTTTTTGTAGATAGATATAAATATTTTCAACAATTAAATCAGTGAGATACTAGATAAATTAACTCAACTTTCCGAAAATAAATAAAAGCCAGTCTTAATGGTTAGATAAATGAATTTTTGACAGCGGTAAACAATAGCTATTTTTTATATTTTCTATACTTGTTTATCTAATTAAGAATAAGCTTATAACGGAAGAGATTACAAAAATACTTATTAATAGATGACATTCCGTAATTAGACCATGGAACTGACTTCGTTCCATATGAGACTCATCAGTAACATAATTATAGGGCAGAATGATGTCCCACTAATACTTTATGATCATCATCGTTTTTAATGTCAACATGAACTGATCGATCTAGTCCCGAATATCCTCAATAAGAAAGCGCAGACCATTATGAATAAACACGTTGGTAACTATTACGATTCAGAACCGTAGACAATAATACCCTGTTGTTTGAAGCGATGTATATAGAGTTATGGTGTTATAGAGAACACATATATTAGGATATCGAAATGTGCAGATAACAAGTATCTGAACAGAACAAGTCCTGGATCCGATAGAGAGCTCTTATACAGAACATTATGGACCATTTATAGCTATATAGTGATGTCACTGATGCAAATAACAATGAAATCGATACTGGTAGGGAGAATACCATCGATTAAAAGTTGTACAGGGTTTATACATTTTCTAAAAAACAATTTGACAGTCATAAATTCCCAGAAGAGAATTATTTAATATATACAAATAGTTACATTTGTTTAAAAGGCTGCTTTAGAAGGAATCGCGGACATTGTGGCCAATTGCAGTAAAGTTTATTCTCAGCACGTCTAGATCTTGATTGCTTTTGATGCTTTCGACCAACCGATTTCACTGACTTACCAACGTAGGAGGAACAAGGACCAGTACGGTTTTGTCGCTGAGGCATTAGGAGAGAAACGAATAAAGCAATATGCATGATCAATATTCATTTTATGAAACGTTCATCATTATATCACGCATAAAATTCAGTTACATTAATTCTCATTCAGTAATTTCTCAGAAATAAATAATAATCCACTAAGGTGAATTGTGAAGGGATTAGAACAGGATGCCTATAGTTTTCCATAGAAAATAATAACACTAGGGAACCACTGAAAACTAAGAAGGACTGAACAGCAATTTACGTCTTAGATTGGAAATCACTAAATACACTCAAATGATCATAAATATATTGTAATGGTAGCGAAATATGCAACTCCTGGGATCGATTTTACATGGGTGGATATGCGATGTTAAAGTCTCCAACTAGAAAGATACCGCTGTCTATTGTTTCCTGGTTTTCAATAGTTTTTTTACATGGTATGAATTTAAAAGGGAAGTCATTTTCAAGCTAAACAATAATCTTCAAAATGTATTTGTATAAACAAGGTCTATCATTTAAGTATTAAATGAAATGAAAGATAAAATTACATTCACTTATTTATCATTACTGATAGGATTTGAACTTAAAGACTGGAAAAATACGTTCGTGAGATTATTTAACCTATAACTAAACTGAGAAGTAAAGGGTTAAGATGATGTGTTCATGTAAGACGTTGTTTCTGGTTCATTTTTAAATAAATTTGAATAAGACATTTGATATTCTTTCAACTTTTATCTAAAAATTAACTGTATCATATCTAAAACTAGTAATAAATAAAAACCATATTTATATAAACTTGATTAACAGTTATATCATTTTAAACGAAGAGGAAAATCGTACATGATGGCTAAATGTAGCAATTGGAGGTAAACATGCTTCTGAATCTTCCTGAATAGCCGGTAATTTTTGGGATTCATTTTTTAATACGAATTGTTTACGACATGATAAATCCTGAGGAAGCCCAGGCGAAGCTGTGTAAATATCCCTTCATAGAGAAAGATAAAAGATAGAATCACGTTAGTATAATTTTTAGTTAATGATGTCAGCTTTATTTGAAAAGAAATTCATTTGAGTGTATATCCGATATCACACATTCCAAGAAAGCTATTGATCAGATAAGAGATTACATGATTATATAAAAAGAATTTCTTGATGGAATAAAATTGCTTAAATAAAAATAATGCGGATGTTACGACTAAAAAGTAATTTGTACGTTAATGAGGGTGTAAAAATGTAATATTTATAGTGTGAAAGAGTAGAATTGAATTTCAATGTAGGTTGATGGCGTGAGATGTGGTTTGGTTACACTAAATATTTTCTCTTTGTTCCCCTGAGATATTTAAACTTGCGTTAATTTAATACGTTTAGTTATTCATTCGTCTTGAAAATCTTACTTAAAATAAGTCGTAAAACTTCAGGAACTTAAATTTTTATTTATTGTGACATTAAGAGCATATCACTATTTTTATTACTAACAATCTACCCAATGATCAAATTACTTTAAAGTACCACATTAAACCTCTGTAATGATAATTATATCTTGTATATTGTGCGATTCCTAAGCATAGTCACCACTTTAAAACTTTAGTTCCTGTCCTCACAAAAGATTGGCCAAGGGTTACTGCAAGTGAAATAGAAAAGTTAGTCTTTATTTGACATTTAAAACCGATATCCCAGAACAAATCATTGAACGATATTGAGTAGTAAAGGAATCGCAAGTATTGTAAATTAATGTGAAGTCATATAACCACCAACGGAAATTCAGTTATTCGCTTGATGGAAAATATGTCTTCGAAACTTAGGGGATTCCCGATGTTTATTTAAATAGATTAATCCAAGTTAAATATAGAGTTAGAGTAATCAAAGCATGGGCAGTAACACCCTTACAATACTGCATGGAATTATAGATATATACATGCAGAAAGAAAGGCACAACTGATCAAATGCATATATTGTTAATCGAAATTGAAATTACCTCATGTTCAAGATTAAGTAGATCCTGGAGATCGAAGATCCAGATCGTTTACATCAGTATGATAGTTCGGTTTAAATAATTCACATTATAACTAAATTCTCTCTATTGTTTGAAGGCGCAATAAAATAAGACGTAATTAAGAGTGTGAGAATAGAATTCATCTAGAGATTAGATTATGCCTTTCTCCTGAAATATTTGATGTACCATCTATTTTTATTGGTAAATAGTTATAATAAAATTTATAAGGAAACTAAAATGACCTCACTGACCATAAAAGAATCTAGACACATAAAATATGCGAGATACGTACTTTGTATTTTAGACATAAAACGGACTTCGTTTTCACTTAATGGCTGAGTACAAAAGTTTGAAGCACTTAGAACTCGATTGTGAGGTAATAAACTCACATCTAGCTTCATCTACTGATTTGCCGTCTTCAGGTGAAGTCCTATTATGACATCAACATTGATTTTTTAGATACACACAATAGGTGCTACAAAATCGCCGATAATTGTATTCTAGTAACCTTCTAATGGTAAAGTGACACTTTCTTCGTTATAAAACGAAATTCGACCAGCTTTTTCGGGATCTCAATTCTTGAGAAGTCAAGAACAGAAAAACCGCTGAATATATTTTGATGACTACATAAATCAGAATGGTTGCGAAATTACCGCAAAAATTATTCACATCTTTAACTTTCAACTAAGATAAGTGATGAAAGAATATATAATCGTGGAAACAGTCCATTCCATATATTTATGAAATCTCCAATCACTGACTGCGTGCAACCAGCAGTCCCATCAATCAGTATCATTTATAAGGCTAAATTTACCCGATGAATCGAAAATCCGGCCATTATTCCCAATCACAGATGCTGTACCATTCTTAATGACCTCTAATGACGATAGCATTTAAAACCAATCCTTAAAAGTAATTTCAAACTATCTCAGCTGCTAGCGTTAGGCAGAATATTCAATGAAGGCTTTCGACATACATCAGTCCTGTGTAACGTACCTTAGTATATCTTAGCAAACTACGAACTGTTGAGCTGAGTTTAAAAAAGTACTGTCAAAGCTATGTAAAATGTGGAACAGGCTTTTACTAATAACTATCTGCCATATTGCCTGAAATTGAAACACTGGCAAACTGCATTCTTTTTATTTGCATCAGCTGAGGTGAAGAAATATGTAGACAATCATACGAAGTCCGAAGATGTTTAGGGACCAGTGGAATTTTGTGATGAATACGGTTTTATGGTAGGTAGATACAAGAAAACGAATTTCAGCAACAATTAGGTTTTTATACTGTCACTGCCAGCACCGAAAAAACTAGAACTGTGGGACTTTTTAGAAAAAAAATACTTGAAACGTTTTTCAATTCATGAACCCGTATTTAGAAAGAGTATGTTCAGATCAATACTCTGGACAGATAACCGCTGCCTTAATGTGGTGGCCGAGGTTATATACCACCGGGAATTAATTGAGCTATATTGATATAGATGGCCATTTATCGAAGTCTTAATGCCTGAAGATGGTTTGAAAAGAACTTGTACCATAGCTAGCTTCTCTGTTGATGTGCATAATCAGACCCTAAGAACCACACTAACAGTAAGGTTGTCTGGGGATTAAAAACAATTATTTGAGTACACATGTACTTATCTGGTTTTATAAATCCATGATTTCTGTTATTTTTTCCTCTTTTCTATCTATGACTAATAAGAAAATTGACGCCATTAGTTTACTAAAATTTATCTTCACATATAGTCTTCGAAAACGATGCAAGATGGAATTCCAAAAACCGCGAAAAAGAATGGAATGCTGTCAGGCGCACTGAACTTTATTAAATTATCCTGGAAACAAACATAAAACCAATGATCCTATTTACCCTATCTTTAAGTGACACAACTGATTATTTGGATATCTCAGGACTTTTCGGACTGCTCATGTATGTATCTAAGCAGCAACGTTTAACTGAACTGCCTCTGGAAAAAGTACGTTACTCTTGAGGAGAGTAGCTTGAAATATTAAAAGAACAGAAAATTTTAATTTCTAAACGACTCAATAGAGCACTGAACCAACACTTTGAGTGAAGCATTAACATTATATCACTAGTACTATCATAAAAGCTTTGAAAGAATTGAACTAAAAAAGGCAAATGTTCTGAAGGTTTGTCTCTAGACGCTTTTAACGATAGCTATTAAATTAAAATATAAATCAGCCGGGGACTTGACCGATGTGTACGAGCCTATGTAAGAATGCGATGAGTACAGTGGGTCTTAGGCATCCCAACTTTAACATGTGTTGTAGGTTGGAAACTCACTCAATCTACTATATTTTCATCAGACGAAAAATGCCACATTTTCAGTGAATCGATCTAATACCTACCTCCCTACGTGTGGAAATTAGAGACAACATGAATATCACTTATGATCATTCTACTGTTTGAGAAATGACGGAAATGGTAGTAACTGAAAATTAACTAGTCAAGCTTGGTTCTCAAGATAGTGGAGATGGTAAAAAAAATAACCAAAGAAAATCAGTAAGTCAAAACACCAAATTAGGGTTTTTAATTAGTTATGACAGATTCCATGGGCGCCACTGAACTAAACAGTCAGCGAGATTTTATATCAAAGATTGCCCCCAAATGCCATAGTATGGCCCAGTAGAGAGAGTTTGCTCTCCCTCTCGAAATGCTCTCACATAGCCACGCGTATATAGCCTCTGCCAGGGAAGTCCTACTCACTGCCTTCTAGTGGCGGGGGTGTTGTTTACGAAAATGAGAGGACGAAAAGCGAATGTCCATCGCTTTAACCGGATTCCAAACCAATGTGCACATGGGCTCCAGTATCCTGAAGGAACAAATAGCGTATGAACCAATCGTTGGTCAACGGCTACCGTAGGACTGCATCTCCTTACGATGCTCCACTGCCTTGTGGATCAGACATTCAAGTCGAAGGCTCCGAGTGTGGATCCCTAAGAAAACCACCTGCTTTGGTTTGGGCACCCGGGCAGTATCACAGCCCTCACACATATCAAATGAGATTTGTGTGGTGCATATGTATTTGGTGCCTCCTTGTACCAATATCTATGTGTTAAAATAAATAAATCTCCCTCGTAATGCCTTCACATGGCCACGTGCTTATAGCCAGTGCCAGAGAAGTCCTACTCACTGCCTTCTGGCAGCGGTGTTTACAAAATTGGGAGGACAAAAACCGAATGTCCGGCGTTTCAGCCGGTTGATGGATGCGGAGGATCTACCTAGGGGAGTTGAAAAACCCTGACTCCAAACAGATGGTGTAGATGGGCTCCAGGATCCTAAGGAAAGTAATGGCGTATGAACCGTATACCGTGGAACCGCATCTCCTTGCGTTGCTCCACGACCTTGTCGACCAGACCTTTAAGTCAAAGGCTCAGAGTGGCCCCTAAGAAAACCAACTTTTTCGATTTAGGTACCTGGGCGATATCTTAGCCCTCACACAAATACAACGACTTACATGGTGTATGTCTATTCGGTGCCCCATTGTACCAATGTTTATGTTTAAATAATAATAATATCATGAAAGCGACAAGCAAGTTTTGAAATTCAATACTGGTTTTCCTATGAGTAACTGAAACTAGTGAACCACTTGTATGCATCAAACAAATATTAAATACAGCACAACAGACTGATAAGGATGTCGCTTGCAGTAATCACTTAATCGTGGACAATGAGAAGAGTCAAAGAACTCATATTTTTCTGTACACGCATTTACCTGATTTACCAGAAAGAATAAGGCATCAGCTACAAAAATGAACATCACACACGCTTTTGCAAAGTCATGTAGATGGTGTTCACCAAATACATCAGATTGCTGCAACAGAATGCAAGTCAGCTATCCCAGAACTTACTCGTGATGTAAACATTATTTGATGGACAGAAAGACATTAACAAACACCATCCCGAGAAAAACTATTTTATTTTTTGACTAGTGTAGTAGTCACGGAGCTTTACATTATTTGGAAGAGAAATTGATTTTTGATTCTTACATTTTGAGTTAACAGCAGTTGCACAACTTAACAAATATTTGTAAAGCCGTGGAGAGTGATGGTCACCTGAAAATGGGACATTTTGGGGTGGAGAATTTTTAATTTTCTGAAACGTTTCGACAAATTTACGAAGATTGAGAACATGTTGCGTATACTTCTCACAAAGTTCATCTTTAGGCATACTGTTAAACATAGCAGCATACATCTCAAAATGACCGTATGAATGATCCTTTTTCACAATTTTATCATGTTTTTTCGGAAAAGGAAGTTCAGGATTTCCGTCTGCGTACATTAAAAGATTCATTTTCGCGTTTGTACATAACCACGCTAGACCATTAGGTATCATGCCAAAAACAGAAGATTCCGAAACATCCTCCTCCCCACGATAAATCCGGCTCAAGAACGAAAGCAAATGATTCCAGCGTTCAATAACGCGAGAATCGTGCTTTAAAAGCCAACTGATATCCCCCGACTTTTGTAAAATAGGTGACGATTTATTCCCAAAAAGCTTTTCAGCACCTTGTGAGGTTATTGGAAATGACTTGGATATTTGTTCAAAGTCCATACCTTCGTCACCACTCAGCAAGAACATGACTTGCTCCTTTGCCCTCCACGTTAGTACAGACAACTCTACAGGATTACTGGTTCAGTCAAAAACCTAGTATTAAACCAAACATACTTAGAATACTTCTTTTTAAGCACTAAAAACTTGTGCTTCCGCCCTTCGACTAACTTTGCGTGTCTCAGTGAGCTCACTGACTCCTCAAAATTTTCCCCAGCAAATGAGGTTTCGACAATTTCAGCAGCATCACGATAAACGTTGAACTCACTAGCTTTTCGAGACGGCTTTGTGTGCCTCGAAAAGTTAATGCTGCCCCTACATGCTGAAACACCAGTTGATATTTGAAGGAATGAATTATACAAGACAGATATTCGACTAACGGTCAACATAAATTATGACCAAATAATGATCGACCGTGAAATGTAACGTACATAGTGGAATTTCCTCAAATTCAGACTTTATCATTCGTCCAATATACAATAAAATTAGGTAAAGCGATCGTAACCCGAAAAGCTTTTCTGATGTCATTACAGCTGCTTACATTTTAAATATTACTGATTATTTATATGTCACAATCATGATTCTTCTAGAAATCCAGTCGTTCATAATAGTCAGTTGAAAGTGCAGTCATCACAACTTCCGCTTGAACATCGATGGCTGTTTCTCCATTATAGAAAGCCACATGATTTATTATAGCTGTCCTAATTTTTCCGTTTGTTCCATGCATTCTGATTTGCTACTGCCAAATGTTTGACAGCGAATAAATATTCACTTGTTGACCCCCTAAAATTTTTATTTATGCGTGTGTGTGTATAGATGTCTATATCTATCTTTGAGTTAACTGCTTGTCTATTCACTCACTGTATTTTGTACATTATAATTTTAGCTATAATGAGATAGCTAATAAGTTAGTCATATGGTTGATCTTCTACTCCTTCTTATGATTTAATTCATGAAATACACGAATTTCCTATTAGCTTTCGCATTTCCGCTTTTTACTGCGAATATTTGTTAGTTCGTGGGGCCATTTCAATGTCATAGGAAGTAGGTCAAATCAATTAGCAGCCGGATCACTTAGTATCGAACGATTCACCGATCTTCTTCAAAGTCAAGGCAAATCAAAGCTCATCTGTTGATTGTACGCTGTGGACTGGCCCATTTGGTTCACTCTGTTTCTTGTGCCTGCTTTTTCTAATACATTCTTCGGTCATGAGAGTAGCTATAGTACCTGGTTAAGACGAAAGGGTGGTCCACGTTAGGTTCTTACCATACGGTGTAAATTCGACGTCATATAGTTTTTCACACCATTCCAGTCCAACTTCAGTAGGTACACAACCATACGACTTAGATCATCTGCTTTAATGACCTCCAAACAAAATTTATCAATGGTTCATTACGTCATTTAATACGGAAGACTTAAACGCAAACATTCAAAAAAGCATTTAAATGTTGACCACTCAGTGAGACCCTTGTTAGTTCGGGGGAATCGGTTCATTTTTTACCTCCAACTTAACTGTCCTTTTTAGAAAGTTAACTTAAAACAGACCAGAAATTGTGAGGATCAATAGAACCCAGAGCCATCTCACAATATCTGATATATAGCGATTGAATCATATCCGAATCCGCATCAAAACGGTCGCCAAGATGAAGTTGAAACTCAAGAAACACTGGACAACGGGGCGGACAATATCACAAAAGTTCAATACGGCCTTTCTCCAGGATAATAACAAACTCAACAAATTCAAGATAGTCCTCAGCAATAAGTTCCAGGCCTTTCATGATCTACTCAATGGAGAAGGAACTACTGTGGAGAGCAACTGGAAGGGGATCAAAGAGGCAATCACTTCAACATGTCATGAGGTCCTGGGTCACAAGAAGCACCACCACAAGGAATGGATCACTGTTGGTACACTGGATAAGATTCAAGAAAGGAGGAACAAGAAGGCAGCGATCAATACCAGCCGAACAAGAGCAGAAAAAGCCAAGGCACAAGCTGAATACACGGAAATAAACAAACAAGTGAAGAAAAGCATCAGAACCGACAAACGTAAATATGCGGAAGATTTAGCAACGACGGCGGAAAAGGCTGCAAGAGAAGGAAACATGAGACAATTGTATGACACGACAAAGAAGCTCTCTGGAAATCGCCGCAAACCAGAACGACCAGTGAAAAGGAAGGAAGGTGAGATAATCATCAACATTGAAGAGCAACAAAACAGGTGGGTAGAACACTTCAAAGAACTCTTGAATCGACCAGCGCCACTGAACCCACCCAACATCGAAGCAGCACCCACGGACCTCCCAATCAATGTTGGCCCACCAACAACTGAAGAGATCAGCATGGTCATCAGACAAATCAAGAGTGGCAAAGCAGCAGGACCGGACAACATCCCAGCAGAGGCACTAAAAGCAGATGTAGCGGCAGCTGCAAGGATACTCCACATTCTCTTCAATAAGATTTGGGATGAGGAACAAGTACCAACAGACTGGAAAGAAGGACTTCTAATCAAAATACCGAAGAAAGGCGATCTCAGCAAGTGTGATAACTACAGGGGCATCACTCTTCTCTGAATACCGGGAAACGTCTTTAACAGGATACTGTTAAACAGGATGAAGGACTGCGTAGACGCCCAAATTCGTGACCAACAGGCAGGATTCCGTAAGGATAGATCGTGTACAGACCGAATCGCAACACTACGATCATTGTGGAACAATCTATTGAATGGAATTCATCACTCTACATCAACTTCATTGACTACGAGAAAGCATTCGATAGCGTGGACAGAACAACACTATGGAAGCTTCTTCGACACTACGGCGTACCTGAGTGTTGGGATATTCAGGGAAATATCCCAAAAATTATCCTGTTAAGTCTAATGCTATCCTTGGACATGAAATGGTATCATCTTATTGGTCAATATTTAGTTAACGTGTTATTTCCCTGTTGGCCATTATTGTACAATGTTATTTTGTATTTTATGGTACGTTGTGGTCTGCTTGACTGGTATATAAACAAAGTATGTTTGAAATATAATGATTCATATATCCGAGGCTGTGACTCGCGTTCTGGACTCAATTGGCTGGGCTAGACAGGGAAGCGAGACCAATCAGAACCCTAGGTCGTTCTACATGTTTGCGCGTCTTTGGTTCGATCAATAATTCGCCACCCCTTAATTCGCAGCAAATATTTTTCACGCTATAACACTGAGATAGTCAATATCATACAGAGTTCATATGATGGATTAAACTGCAAAATCGTGCAGGGAGGACAATTGGCAAAGTCGTTCGAAGGAAAGACCGGTGTTAGGCAAGGTTGCTTACTCTCACCCTTTCTCTTTCTCCTGGTGATCGACTGGATCATGAAGACCTCAACATCTGAAGGGCAACACGGGATACAGTGGACATCTAGGATGCAGTTGGACGATCTAGACTTCGCAGATGATCTGGCCCTTCTATCCCAAACGCAACAACAAATGCAGGAGAAGACGACCAGTGTAGCAGCAGCCTCAGCAGCAGTAGGTCTCAACATACACAAAGGGAAAAGCAAGATTCTCCAGTACAACACAGCATGCACCATTCCAGTCACAATTGACGGAGAAGATTTGGAAGAAGTAAAAACCTTTACGTATTTGGGCAGCATCATTGATGAACAGGGTGGATCCGATGCAGATGTGAAGGCGCGGATCGGCAAAGCAAGAACAGCAAATTTACAACTGAGGAACATCTGGAACTCAAAGCAACTGTCAACCAACACCAAGATCAGGATTTTCAATACAAATGTCAAGGCACTTCTACTGTATGGGGCAGAAACCTGGAGAACTACGAAAGCCATCATCCAGAACATACAGGTGTTTATTAACAGATGTCTACACATAATACTTCAGATTCGTTGGGCAGACACTATCAACAACGACCTACTATGGGAGAGAACAAACCAGATCCCAGCGGAAGAAGAAATCAGGAAGAAGCGCTGGAAGTGGATAGGACACACATTGAGGAAAGCACCCAACTGCGTCACAAGACAAGCCCTCACATGGAATCCTGAAGATCAAAGGAAAAGAGGAAGACAAAAGAATACATTACGCCGAGAAAGGGAAATAGACATGAGAAAAATGAAGAAGAATTGGATGGAACTAGAAAAGAAGGCACAGGACAGATTGGGTTGGAGAATGCTGGTCAGCGGCCTATGCTCCATTGGGAGTAACAGGCGTAAGTAAGTAAGTAAGTAAGTAAGCTAGTAGGTGGACAAGCTTACTGGGATATCGAGGTCTGCTTGCAATAACACTGAGCATGCATCCTTTGTTACTTTTTACGAGGTCATCAGCACCGAGCAACATTGAAGACGTGACACTTTTCGTATGTTCTCTGGTTTAAAGTAGAAGGGGCGAACGGCTCAATAAGGAACCAATCGGCTCCCTACCAAGTATTGATTTTTATGAAATGCATTTGAATTTAATCATGAAATTCGGTAGACAATCTCCAATAAATTTCATGCTGCGGTTATACTATTGTTTTACTTTGTCAAATTACTCCGCCCAGATTTATTGGGCCTATCATTGGATTTCGCTGTTTATTCCTCTCAACACTTAATTTTGATGGTTGGCATATCACAGTACTTTACTCTTTTTTGTGATTGTGTAAATTGACTGCTTCTGTTATGTATATCTGAAATTGAATCGCATTACATGTAGATAACCCGTAACTTATAGAATAATTTCTGTGTTACTTTTACGTGGTTCCAATTTGGGATAAATGATAAGGAATGTAAACAGATAGCACAATGCTAGCATACAACCTACTTATTAACTTGCTGACATCTGCGCAGATGTTCTGTTATGTATTTTCAGTTATTTTAACTACTAGCTAACCTGACCGGGATACTATCTTATCTTTAAACCCATTTTCACAAATTACTGAACGTGCCTGTAAAAATGGTATGTATACGCTACGTCACAAATATATGTATTATAAATTTCTTTCTTATTTTGTTGTTGGCTACTCTCTCTTGGAGCCAACCAAATAAACTAGAATATTGTTCCTTGTATAACGGTAACATTTTTCTAATTGTGATAATTGAGCCTTACCATGTGTCTGTATGCGTTTTAGAACACATTGTTCGGATTAATTTAATTCGTTTTATGAATATATCTATCCAAACGTCCCTGTATCAATATTTGCATGTACATTTAAACTCTGCTACAGGGACATTATTGACCGTTGTCATCCTTTTGATATACCTGAACTCGAAATGAAGTCCCAGAAAAATCTAAACAAAAGAACATAACAGAATTCTTCTGATTCTGAATTGCACAACAGCTGATGAGATACTTTTTCATACTATATTTTACTTATTTTTACTCGTCATCGTCTGGCTGTTTACGGAGAGCCG